TTCTATACGATTTGCAGACGGGAGAAACACTGAAGATCAGATTCTAGTTTCAGCGACCATTGTATGATGACTCACCATGGGGTACCATTAGATTGTTTGTGTGACGTTTCTTATACATCACAACAGAAACATCCAATTACTCCTTAATTATTCGAGATCAGTATTCCTGTCCAGTACAGTACACGGAAACGTATGTAAAAGTATGTTCCATGGGGACGTTCATGACGAATATGCCGGCTGAGCCTTTCGTTAATCGGATGGATAACGAGGGGGTTTAATGTATCAACCAGCAATCGGTGCGTAATGTCGCTGATGACTGAGCCAAAAACAGCTTGTCAATGCATCTGATTAACAGCGAAAACCGTAAAACCTAATACTCGAATCGCCAGTGAATCACACTGGCGGCGCAATGTGAAACTCAAATTACAGTCAGATATGATCACAACCCTGACGGGTAACACACTATAGGCTCGCAGGTATTGTGACAATCCGGTGTAGGGAAGGAACCGTCGAAAACTGTTGGCAGACCATCGGTCATCAGACGGCTACCACGGCTTACAATACATATCACCGGATAAACGAGATCCGGGGCTAATCTGTGTTGCAACGGAGAGTATATAAACGACCATTACGAACTTGAATGTTCGTCAGTTGATGCGAAATCGTATTCAAACACGCGTGCACATACAACTGAGAAATAAATCAGAAGAGAAGTATTTAACGGTCAATGATATCTGTTGTGGAATATATCTGATTTGTATCTGAGAGACAGATTGTTTGTTAAACGCAAACATGCACAAAGGAAACCAGAAGGGAAAATTGAACAACTGGGAATAGATGAAAGTATCCGAGAGAGAGAGAGAGAGATGACGTGAATGGAACTAAATGATATTAATTCTCCGAGTAGCCATGACGGTTCCGTTTTTATTTGCAGTACCACTGACGGGGGAAGGTTCTTAATCGATAAGTTCGCGCCAGACAATAGCACAAGCGTCCCGCTGTAATTCTCGACGCATGCTAGGGGGCAGAGGGAGTTTATTGAGAATGGAAAACAGTACCCTGCATCGGTGGTTATCCATCACACGACCGAAAGTGGAGTGCTTGGACCAAATCGGCTGATTCTCGTCGTTCGTATCGAGGATCGCCGTCGCGGAACCGCCACAGTTAACGCTAGCTGAACCGGAAAGAGAAGATTTGGCACGTTTGAAAGACGTTCGAGAGGTATGCTCAGAGGGTGAATAGTGATCTGAAGGGTCGGCAGACATGGGGCTGTCCAGCGGCAATTTGGGTGCATGAATACGGACGATTTGACGTAGAATGGCACAAGAAGATAGACGACTCAATCGCGGTACTGGTTCCTAATGGAACAGCATAAGAGAGAGTTATTAGAATACGCAAACCGAACTCGTCATAAAAAGGAACGATGTCCTAGACAACAGTGGATTCATAGAACAGCGGGTGAAATTGCGAAGAGATAAATGATCTAGTGATTTTGCGAATGTAGTTCAGTACTTGTTTGTTCGCACAGTTGTCACAATTTAGTAATAGCAAGAATTTCTTCATCATAATTTGCAAGAGTTTAGCTATGTTAAGTATACACATCATTTTTTATTCATGCATTCTGTGTGTGACATCATAACTACCACGGTAGGTTGGTATCACGTGTCACACTTGACACCACATTGACCACATCGTTCAGACCAGTTGACCTCCATATAAAAATTGTCATCTAACTTGATCTCAACCCCTAACCAAACAAAAATCACACAACTCATTCATCCACCACCTTATCAAAATGACTCATTTCAACTCTTATGTTTCTTCGTTTTACATGACCATATTAATAACCGTTTACAGCTAAATGAGAGCACGCGAAATTGATGGCCAATATCAATTCTGCTCACATATGTCCTCTTGTGTTGATGAAATGGATAAAGGTAAAAGGATGTTTTACAAACCAGTTTTGTGGAGAAATCTTTTTCGTACTTAATCTAATTTATATCCCCTATGTACTGTCAGGTAACGTACTATGTGTGTATATAAATGCAATCAAAAGCGGTGGAAATGTTTTTGATAACCAACAAGGAGCACTGGACAGCTGTTTCGTCCTGTTTGGGACGCGTCAGAAGTGCATACTTTTGGTGTCCCTATCAGGACTCGAACCGCGAACATTTGGAACGGGACTTCAAACCCTTACCCTTGAGCTACACGGTCAACGGTCATCACCTTGTGCGATTGGCTCAATCAACTTTAGATTGTGAATGTTTGGATTTCCACCGCATTTGAATGCATACAAACAGGGAACGAACGATCTCCCAAGAAGTGAAACCCACACCGAACATCATCAACAGTGCCTGTGAAAAACCTAATGGGCTAATCCAAACATTCACCATCTAAAAATACACACAATTCGTGTTTGGATGTTACGGTACCAAGTACACTATTCATCACGGCGCCCAAAATACTAGCTCCGAAAGATACACAAATATCAATTTTGAAAGATACTTGTGTATCTTTCGGCCCTAGTAGTTCGATTGCAATGATGGATAGATAGATGATAGATACGACTGACTGAGCGACATACGTAGGTAAATGCCAGACCAATGCAGAACGTGTGGAGGTGGTCAAACACTTTTACTAATCCAACTGGGATGCAACCGAAGCTGTTTGTCGATGCCAAGTTGCTCAATGAAATACAAATCTGCTTCACACAAAGAGAGTCATGCAGCCTAGCTAACGGCTTCAGGATAACAAAAACAGTAAAAGACCCCATCAATAATTGCGATGGGTACCTCTTTAGTCATTATCAACCAACGCTAATATGTTAGCTATCAACGGTGCAACTAAGGCTCCTAACACGAAAGGTCCGTGGTTCAAATCAAAACAGGGCAGAACAGACTGTATACACTGCTGACGAGTAACAGCTTTACAGGGCTCTCGGTTGGCCTTAACAAATACTTCATAACACGATTGACAATCTTCCACCCAACTCCCGCGTAGCGTACCATGGGTTGCATGACTGCCACACGCAAAACGACTGATGATATCGGTTAGCCCAGCCGTTAAAGGTTAAAGAGTAAGCTGGAGTACACAATTTTATCAATAAACTATAACACAGAAAACATTTCGCCGCCTTGTTCACAAGCGTCACCGCGTATTTTAAAACAAAAAATTACAAGACCCACTACAGACCTCTTTGTTTTACAAATGTAATGTACCATTAAATTCGGAATCAAAAGGGCGCAGAACACTTAAAGACGTGGTATTATGAGCAGTATAGTCAAACTCGTTGCCAACTGTGCCTGTTGCCGACTGCGTGTGGGACTATTAACAGCCTATTCAAAGCTCAGTTATCAGTTTCAGTTTGAACAAACATTAACCATATACTATCGTGCGCCGGTTTTGGTTGCTGTCTTTTGGAGACCCATTTGGATGAATAAGAAAGGTTGAAAGTGGGATCAAAGAGAAAATTTAGAGTTGCATTGCACTAATGTCACAGAAAAATCGACAAAATGCACGAACGCTACTGTTTACGACACCCAGCCATATCATTCAGTGTCTCTAACTATCAGGTACGATCATGCCGAGGTCTCCATCCAAGGGACCTAACGGGACCTATGTGACACAGGCTCTTGGTTAGAATTTTCATACCCTCATGCCAGCTCGTAGCTTGACTATCCTTGACTTTCTTCTATTCATTATCTGCCTGGGGGAACATCGCTCGACGTGGCAATCTATTTGGTCACATGTGTAACACATGCCCCAACCAACGTAATCTATGGAGGTTGACCACCCGCTCCAGTGGGCGAGAGCGGCTACCCAACCTTAGCATCGCTCGTCCGGTTGCCCCACCAGATTCGTGCAATGCCGCTTAGATAGCGGTGATCCAACGTCGACAGTTTTTCTTTATCCTGATTTCTTAATGGTCAGGTTTCTGTGCCGTACAGCAGAACTGGCCGAACTGCCGCAGCTTACAATCAACCCTTAACAGACAGCCGGATGTCGCGACGGCGCCACAGATATCTCAAGTTGGCAAATGCCAATGGAGCTTTCTGTACGCGAGCTGACACTTCATCTGTGATGCGTCCACCGAGTGCGATGTAGCAGCCCAAGTAACATAACTTGTCTAGTTGCTCTATTACTTCCCCAGTCAGGGTGAAACTGGGTGCTGAATCAACCCAGTCTTGAAGTAACATTTTGCACTTTAAAGGTGTAAAACACATACCGAACATGGCTACATTAGCACTCAAACTATCCAGAAAAGCTTGAAAATTACCTGGATCTTCACTTAATAGTAATGTCGTCTGCATATTCTCAATCAGACAGCCTGTCACCTGGGAGTAAATCAGTGCCACTATTCTCGCGCGAGGATAGGGCTATTTCCATAATCAGATCTACAAAGAAGTTAAATAGAAAAGGAGACAGAGGGCAGCCCTGACGAACACCACTTCCATGGTGAACTCGGGCGAAAAGGTGCCGCAAGCTCGGACTCGACTTCGGCTGAGTATAAAGGGATTGTAATATTGAAATTAACTTCTCAGACACACCTTTCAGAGAAAGGCAGCGCCAGAGTTTAGAGCGGATGACTGAGTAAAAAGTCGCTTTCAGGTCCAGGAAGACAGAGATGGTGGGCCTACGAAAAGAATTTCGGTGTTTCGTAATGATTGAAAATGAAAATATCAGACTTCACCTTCGAACCGAAGGTCACCAATGGCACAGAAAGTGAACAAACAGAGTAGGAAGAAGACATACCTGATTTAACGGGACTAACCTAACCGCTTTTGTTTGGCCGTAGACGTCTAAAACAGCACGCATTTTCGGAGTAAATAAACGCTGTTCCACCGCTGCCTCGGATAACGGACACGGGTTGAGTGAGGATGAAGACCGGCAAGACTGTGTTGGCAAAGATATTAGCTGGTCCCGACGAAGAGCGATTTTTTCCTGGAAAGTTAGTGAAAATGATGAGGGAGTGGTAACGTATAAAAAATCAAACGCCAAGGAAAGAGAATTAGTCAACCAGACGTCACAACATAATGATGTGTGATTGATGACTTTAAGGGATCAAATATGTCCTGTCATTAATAAAAAAACAGACGATTGATTAAATTCATAGGAACGTTAGTGATGTACATTCACATAAGTTTGAATGGCGGTCAATCAAACTAAACTTGATCTAGTTTTTCATCTGCAATGACGCAAAATTGAAATAAACTTCTCGGGCACACCCTTCAGGGAGGGAGAGAGAGTCTTGAGCGATCGAGTGAGTGAGTCGAAAAATATTTTCAGATTGAGGAAGAAAGAAATGGTCGGTCTACGAAAGGAGTGTTTGTGTTATAGGATTTGACAGAGTGAGGATGTGATCGATACAACCTCGACCAGATCTAAAACCAGTGTGCTTCTCACGCGTGCGGCAGACAATCGACGGTGTATAAGATCAGCGACAAGTTTAAAGATAATGATGATTAGAACAATTCTCCTGTAGTTTTCACAAGCGGGTTTGTCAACCTTCTAGTGAAGCGATATGATTACCCATTCACACCATTCCGTTGAAACCTGTTCCATCCCACACACTGTCCTCATGAGTTTCATGAACTCCAAGCAGAGACTAACCCTCCAACGCTAAAAACCTATGGGGATAGTCCATCGGGAGCGGATACCTTATACCTTTTGAGGCAACCGGTTTACCCGGTAACCTCCAGTTCAAATGGAGGGCTGATTTCTACTCGGAGTATTTGTCCAACTCAAGCCGGTTTTGTGTCGACAGGGGCCAGCTGAACTGTGCCTTAAAATGTTCTGCCCATCGTTCAAGACGTCGTTGGTGAATACGAATCAGTGCGATCAGACTCTTTCATTAACTCCTTAAAGCCTACTTTCCTTGAGGCTGTACTCCTTATTAAACAAAAAAGACTGCGACTATTATCGATAGTCGCAGTCTTCTCCATCTCTTTACACATCTCTATCCACGACTTTTCTCAGTCATTTCCTCAAGCTCTTGATGAGTTTAGTCGTATTTTGCATCAGAAGGAACCCCTTAGTTAACCCACTTACGATAAGAAAAACCGAGTAAGAAAAGAATTATTACTTCGCTTGGGTGTGGGTTTCAAACGGCATAAGCTGCCACATTAACAGCCTGGAGGATGTATGAAACCCACCATTAACGCGAGTTGCGTAGCAGCCCATTTATTAACCGCTTCTCCTTGGAAATTGTATCTTTGTATACTTGGGTGTTATGTTGCGTTTGGGCATCTATCTCTCACCGAGCGGACGGATCACATATGAAGTGTCGGTACGCATACAGAATGCTTCGTTGGCATTTGCCACATCTATGGCGCTGTCGCGACATCGGGCTGTATGTGAAAGGTATATGCTGCAGTAGTTCGGCCAGTCATGCTCTAAGGTGTACAGATTTGGCCATTAAGAAATCAGGATAAAGAAAAACTGTCGGCGTAAAGTTCTGGGTAGCCGCGGTCGCCCGCTGGAGCAGGTGGTCAACCTCCATAGATTACGTTGGTTGGGGAATGTGTTACGCATGTGACCAGATAGGTTGCCACGTCGAGCGATGTTTGCCGAGGTAGGATGGAATGGTGGATGAAATGAAGCCAAGGGCGATCAAACCAAGACCTGGCATGAGGGTATCAAAACTCCTACTGTTCATCCGAATTGGCAGCCAAAGACAGCAACCAAAACCGACGCATGAAAGTGCATGATTAATGGTTGCACAAACTTAAACAAAACATATATATACGCTAGCTTGGAAAAATGGCACTGATGCAACAACAATAGAAATGAAAGAACAAAAGGACAAGTGAGGCGAGCAGTTCACAAATAAAGTCACGAACAAAAGCAGTTGGAAAACAGCCAATTAAAGTTCTGGATTCACCGTGGTCAAACATGAACGCAAGAGTGATATAAAATCTGCTATCAAATAAGTGTCAAAACGTTGAGGTATTTAATTCGTTCGGCAACGCAAATGATATGGGCAAAAAGATTTGGACTCTTATTCACCCCTTACTATGTTATTCAAGCACACGCACACACACTTCTTTCTGTTTCCTTGACTTACGCGATTTTGTGACTTACAAAATAGTGCTGTAGTCGGCTAGCAGATGATGTACTGAAATCGAGCCTGTTTTCCAAATCTGCTTCCTTTCTGTTGCGCTGTACACTTTTTGGTGTTTTTTTTTCTATATATCTTTTGATGAAGTAAGGTATTTCAGTAGACAGACAGTAAACCACTCGCGCCAGTTAGTTCCATTCGAAACAATATCTTTCAGCGTCCTTAACCGGAACAAACCTCATCCGTTGAGCCCCAACCTGAAAGACGGGTTGCACAGATCAAAGCCAACGGCGAATGTTAGTTCTTTATATCGGAATGCCAGTTCATAGTCTGACTGTTGTGTTGCTTCATCCAGCCTCGACTACCATGTGCAAAACTAGTACATAGGAATAGAGGATGGGCAGGCAAACGCAAAGCATACGCGATCCATCGGAGGCAATGTGGAATAGTTCCTCTTTGAGAGAACGACTTTCAGTACCCAATACATGACAACGAACCCTGTCATTGCTAGCTCGAAGTTCCAACAAGATGGGAAGAATGCTTCTAAGAAGATGAAGGTCGAATAGAGAAAGTCCATTGGCATTCTCAGCGCGAGAAGACCAGTTCTCGTAGCCATTAAGGAAAACCCTACGATATGCTGCGAAATCTACCCTTCGCTATGGTCTCACAACTAAATGGGATAATTTTCAAACAAGGAAAAACAATCTGACAAATGACTTACTGAAACCGTTACCAGGTCAAATCCATTGATAACCATGTGAAACACAAGCTGAAAATACATGGGTTCTGATCGTCTAGAATCAAGATCCTGAGAAGATGATGTACTTGGGGAGGTTTGTTGTGATTCTCCACGGACGGTTGTCGCTGTTTCCGGAGGTTCGTGTTGTACATGGGTAGCAACCGTCGTGTTAGGTGGCTGTCCTATCTCCTCCTCGTCAAATACCGGATTGGGAGACCATTGAAAATAGTCAGTCCACCCAAAGGAGGACGGATTCGATGTTGGTAAACAGGCTTCCAGTTCGTAATAAATCGCCACAATGCTTCCCTTCTCAACATCAGGTGGACGCAGAAAAACTCCGTCAGTGGGCAGCAACCGGCGGAGCGCTACCCGACCAAACGTGGTGTACAAACAACATGTACATGGAGAAGCGGGGTTCAGATGAAGTCGCCGTACTGGATGTGCATCATCATCCGATCGAACACATAGGGTAAGGGTTTCCGAGCGACCGAGGGGATACCATTCAGCATAAACACTTGGTACGAGTGAATCTGCTGTCCGAGTAAATCGGCGTTGTTGCTGTTGCTGTTGTCTACGCCAAAGTGCACGACGGCGATGTGAGGTCAACAGAGTGGCGGCATTACCCACTGGAAAGATCCAGCTTTGACCACGTGTAACTAGTTCGGGGNGGGGGGGGGGGGGAGGAGGAGGAGGAGGAGGAAGAAATGGAAAATTACTTGAGGATAATGAAAATCTTTGAATCATATATTCAATTTTACACTTCTGAATATCATCCCAAAAGGATCTAAGCATAACAACACATTGTATCGTCCAACAGAACAAACAACGGTAGTCAGCTGCGTAGATAGCCAGTTTTTTCTGATGCGTGTCAAATTTTTACACTAAAATCCCAGACACCTCACATGGTCTTTTTCTCAACTTCAGCAGCATTAAAGTCTAATTGACCGGATGATCAATAGTATCAATATAATTAGCGCTTTTCAGTCGTCGCATACCTTTACCGACCATGCCATGTAGTGGTCTCCAGATTATCTACGCTAAATACATAAACATATGAGTGATATAGTAAATTGATGCATAAGCTTCACAATCAGCGGCTTTTACAGATATACTTTAAAAGCTTAGCTACCACGCAGCCAGAAAATGCAACCACTTGATCAAAGATCCAACGAGCATCACGTGTCCATTGTGCAAGTCATGGAATCAAACACTGTTTCTCAGTTTTTTAGCAAACCTAATCTTCTGTGAGCTAAACCTGACAAAGCGAGCGAATTATTCAACAGACTAGGGGAGGAAGTAGATAATAAAACCATGGGAATTGTTGTTAGCCCTTGTAGTCTATGCGAATGTAACAGAATTGCCAGTCTACGAAAGAGTGAAGTAATTTAAGAGTTCAAAGCCGCATTTAAGTGCTGTTATTTAGAATGATTAGTAAATTACTCGAGTGCAGATTGACGGATCTCCGGACACATTATATTAGCCAGCTTTTGTTACGAATGCATTAAGCCCCATAGAAGACCATAATCAATCCGAAATGAAAATGCTTTAAAGTAAGAGATTTCTAGACTGGGTGGATTTTCTTTAGCAATGTTCAGAAAGGAAGGTTCCGCATCTATCTCAGAATGAAGAGAAAACCGTTTCCAATAAGAAAAGGATCCCACACTCGGGGCCATAACTGGGTCGATGAACCACTATTAGTTCACCTAACAGGGTACGCTAAAACCCTGTTTCTAAACCAACTAAGAAGAGGCATACG